TATAATAATTTAAACTTTCCTACATTGCCAAAGTTAAGACAATGTGTTTTCACACTTATTTTTGACCCAGAAAAAGGATGTCTATAAATGTTCAAATGTTTTCTCAAATTGTGTTAGGAGGCTGATCTTATACAATTAATAAGATTCTAAAAACATACAAAAATCATTTATATACAAATGTTCATAATGTACTTTTTCTTGCAATGCGAACTTAGAAATTAACTACTCCATCTGGTTCAATTTATGAGACATTTTTTATTTTCGAATTTCAAATTATGTAAATTTTGACAAATATTTTGTAATGTATTTTTATTATTATATTAACATGAGAAAATTGCAATTTATCACACTTTTTGTTTAGTTTTTTAATATTTAAATTCAAAATATTATATTAATCTATTTCAGTTTAGCTTTAAAGATTAGTTAAGTTGACTCTCTGAAAATATGAAAAATATCATATAAACTGGGACGAAGAAGTACTTACTCACTTGATTAGGAAAATGTCTATACAAAAGATGTGTTAAGTATGGAGTAGAGTTCAAATTTCAGCAGAAGTAAAAACTATTAGTAGATGATATCTCTCTCTGTCCCTAATTCTTGGTACATATGGAGTTACTTGGCACTCGTACTATTGTGATTACACTATAATAAATAAAGAATTTTGTGGTAATACTTCATCCGTTTATGTTTAATTGTCATGATTTTCTTTTCTAGAGTTAAACTATAAGAATTTTGACTAATATTTTACAATGTATATTTTCATCATATTGATATGCAAAATATTGCAATTTAAAGTACTATTTTCGTATAGTTTTTGAAAATCTATTTGTTTAAAATATTGAAGTAATGTAATCTAATTTAGCTTTAAAAATTTGTCAAATTGACTTTCAAAAAACGCAACATGACAATTAAAAGTGGACGGAAGGGAGTATATTATTTATCATATCATATAACTGTCAATATATTAAATATTTGTTGACAATAATAAATATGAGTATTTATAACCAACACTCTATATAAATATTACTAAAGACTTTAGTGATTCCGAATGCAATGTTATTAAAGCAATATTGACATAAAAGAAACAAAATGATATATGTGCATAACAAGACAATTTTTGAATATAGACTCAGTCACACCAAATCGATAGTTTATAATTATCAATTTAACTATACGATACAATAAAATTTAAGAAATAACTAAAAAACCTTTTATATTCAAAATAACAAAACAATACAACACAAACACAACACAAATACACAGTACAATAGGTAAGAAGCAACCATCCAATCCAGAAGCGGCAAAAGGGAGATAAAAAAAGAGAGCAAATTTCCATCAAAATATAATTTTTTTTTAAAGAAAATATCAAAGAGATTTGTGGAGATTGGGTTCATGCTAATTAATTCCTTTAGGAACAGATGCGGATCCACACCTTCACGTGCATTCGTTGACTTCAAAAAAATAATAATATATATATATATATATATATATAGTTTCGAAAAAATTAAAATATTTTGACAAATTTTCTTATGGGTCAATTTGGGCTACATATTTAGAGCCTGTTTGGATTGGCTTTAGTATTTTTATCATTTTAGCTTAAAATCATGTGCTTATAGCACTTTTAATTTACCCAAACACTCCAAAAGTGCTTAAAAGCTATTTCTGCTTAAAAGCACTTAAAATAAGCCAATCCAAACAGGCTGTTAGTCCAAATCATCCCAACTTTTAGATGGAGACATGGGTTGTGCCAAGATTGGCACTTCATGAAAATAAGCCCAACCCGCCAAATGTTGGGATGGCCTAATTTTGCCACCCTAGTAACATCACAAACTTGCAAAGCCCCTTTAGTAATTCTCCATCCCATAGTACGCCAATTCTAACAAACTGTAGCTGGACATAAATATCGATGAGAAATGCATTCCATAATCCGGTGAGGTTAAGGACAGCAAAGAACAAGGATCCAAACAAGTAAAGGAGAAGAAGGAACACACGACTCCAAAATAGACTCTGCTAGCCAGTTTTATTTTCACCAAGAACTTGTCAGGACCTTTACTAATTCTACATTGAGAGCAGGACAGTTCAAAGAAACTGTAGCTGGAAATAAATGTCAGTGAGAAATGCATTCTAAGGACCATTCACCGATGCCAAAACAGTGTCTTACTATCATTCACAGAGTTAGATATTTTGGGACCAACTAAAATCTGACCGGGAGAGTTCCAAGTTTTATGCAAGACATGATAGGATCAAATTAGAAAGTAGTCCATTACCGAATAAATGCATAGTTCTAACTTTTCTAATTGGAGAGGAACCATGGAAATCCAAAACAAGGTTGTGAGGTATGTACATATTACATCAGCAAAGGTCGAAGATAAAGAACCATATCCAACATACCCAGTCCAGTCAAAATGCGGAATTTTTGGTGTTCGAGCCTGTCCTTTCCTCAAGCAATATAGCCAACCATCACTAGGTGAGGCTGCATTTTGTTCACCTGGAGTTTCAGTTGCCAGAGACGATAATTTTGCCTTCAAATGGACAGACTTGTGAGAACTCCAAGATGCCTTGAAACAATCCTGCGTGCTGACAAGAAGCAACTTGCATCAAAATCAAGGTATTAGACTAATGGCCAGAGAAAATAAAGATCTAACTATTGTCATAGGAAGAGATTCTCGTCCCATTAGCCATTCATTTTTTTATTCAGTTCACATTTACAGCAGTTATAACTTTCCAAATCCACTTAGATTTGATCTATCAGACAGGAGGTTGCAGTTCTCCAAACATTTTGAGAAACTGACACACCCATGATGAGCATATGAGACAAGCTAAAAGAATCACTTGTGATACCAGTGTTCAAACCCAACTAAAACCCATTTTCACTATTTTTATTTTAAGTTTATTTCTAATAAAATTGGAACAATATCACAGCCTAAGGAACTTCAAAAATATTAAAAGTCACAAAATTTGTTTAGATAGAGAGATTAAAATCATCAAAAATATGACGATTTTGAAATAAAACCATTTATAAATTTATCAAAATCATGTAACAAAACAAAGGTATTCATGTAGTGTATCTTAATTTTATCAATGCCATTCCATATGACATAGAAACTAATTACATCATACAATTATAGGAAAGAAAAAAAATTAGATCTTTATTATTCATAAACTAACATAATTAAATTAGGGGTATGAAAGAAATATCCCTAATAAGTTCAAGAAAGTAAGCAAGATTATTATTATCTTGAGCAAAAGGATTCGGAGAAGTCGGTGATTGCGTAAATAAAGACATACAAGCAAATAAATGAGTCCGTGCCCCTTCGATCGCTTGACCCATATCACCATTCGTGACTAAAGTATGAACTATGAAATCAAAAGCCGATTTCAAAAGTACATAATCATGAAGACACTGCTTGTACATTTGCTTGAGGGTTGGATCTACTACATTTGATGTAACAGTAAGAACCTTCCTATGAATGTTTGTGTAGTTCGAATATGCCAATTGAATTGTAACATCTTCGAGATTATACCTTGTTGTCGCCCTATTTGCCTCGGGATTTTCTCCCAAAACGTTGTAGCAAAAGTCTTTAACTTCACAAAAATCGCAAGCGTTTTTAACTAGTTGAGTAGTTGCACTTGCTCTTAAACATGTGCCAAAGAGATCAACACTTAATAAAATTATAAAAATTGATGAAGAAGTGCTAGAGATTGATCTCCCCATTTTTTTTTTCGAATTATGATTCTAGTTAATTAATTTTTCTATTGAAAAATTATTATATAGATGTGGGGTTAGTTCTATATATAGAAAGTATATTAATTTTCATTGGTCAAATATTATGTCCTAGTTTAGTAATTCTCTCGACAAGTTAAAATGGTAATTATGTTTTTGCTTATTGAGCCTTAAATATTTGATAAATTTGACTGACTATTCGGGTGATGTAAAGATTTCTTAATTTGCATCCTTGGTCAAAGTGAACATCTTAATATCTTGATATGTGTTTTTAAGCTATTTTTAGACCGTAAATATTTACCTGCATCGAGTATTTACATCAAATTATATAAATTACTATAATTAATTAATTTAATGATGTAAAAGTGCATGTTTAGTTAACTATGTTTAAGTTGTATAATTTATAAAAATTTATGTGCAAACACAATAGTACGAAAAAGGGATAAAATTATGCAAATGTTGATTATTTCTCACCAATTTTCATAAAACGGTAACATGTTTTTCCTTTTAGAGCCTTAAAAATATATGATTCTTTTTTTAATATGGGATAATAATTATCTAAATTTGCATTCTTGGTCAAACTGAACATCTTAATTACTTGATACGTGTTTCCGAGCTATTTTTAAACCGTAAATACTAATTCATATATGATATTTATGTTAAATTATATAAATTTACTAAAATTAAGCGATTTTATAATGTAAAAGTGCATGTAAATTAATTATGATTAAGTTCTAAAAGTGGGTAAAATTTAAAAATTTATGTGCATACTCATGTCATGCATCTATTTAACTAAATAGACACCAAAAGCTTTTACCACTTCTAGACCCCGAAAAGGGATAAAATTATATTGAGAGAAGTATTGAAAATACCTCTGAATTTGGCGTAAATTGTTAGTTTCGTTCCTAAATTGTTGACAACCTTAAAAACACATATCTATTTGACTAAATAAACTTAGGTACACCCCTAATCTAGCATATGACATAACAAGTGGTCTCAAACTCTTGTCGGAGCATAGAGCTAGTTCTTAATGAAAGACCGAGAGAAGTGTTGAAAGCACTCCTAAACTTGACGAGAATTTAGGAATGTATTTCTTGTAAGATTGGGGTGTACTTAAGTTCAACAATGAACTTTGCATTTAATACAATATCAAAGACTTTTTTTTGGGTGGGGGAAGGGAAACAAGGAAGGGAATTACGATGTGGGGAATTGCCCTCACCAATAAAGTGACAATAATTTAGATAGCTAACCAACTAAGTTATGAGTCCCAAAGTGATATGGATGTACAAATAAGTATAAGAAATCAATTGAGAAGATTATTTTTTACTTACAGACATACAATATACGGGTCAAATTCATATTTAAAATTTGAGGGTCATTTACATTTTGACCCCCTTTTTGTCCTAGTCTTTAATTCATTCCCCTTGTAACAAAAATAAATAAATTCTAGCTCTATGTCTAATCCTCATAGATTTCACATTCCAAGAATCGCAGTAGTGACTGCTTTCACTAGTATAAATATAATAATTTTTCCAATTATTCTACCAGCTCTACCATGATCACCCTGAACCGGCATGTTGTTATGATTATGATTCGAATATGGAATTTCATAAGCATGACCATCAAAATATTGCGTCTTAGGAAATATCGATGGTGGAACATACTTGGAGATTCCTAGCCATGTTCTTTTCTTTTCACATTGTACCAATATACATTCCATATGGATATCAAATTCACATAGTGCACACCTATAACGCCATGAAGAAGCGTTACATGCTCCTTTACAAATAACACATGTTTTTGATTCTGACGAGCTTAGAAGCCTTAAAGGATGCACCTGAAATATCATAGTTAATTGAAGTATTGCTTGGAATTTGGATAATGACTATACCATACTTAAATGTTCTGATTCTGAATCCACATGATACAGTTTTTTAATTTTTTTTATTACATAAGGATAAAAAAACTGAGAAATTAGAAAGGGGATTATAAAATTGGTAAAACACCTTTTATTTTAATCGGTTTAATTTAACTAGGTTAAGCTAAAATAATATAATTAGTCAAAATAAGTTAATCATGCGAGAAATAAGATGAAATAGGGTGTGTTCGCTATAGAAGAATATATCTTACTAAAGAATGCTTACAATTTTTTTCATGTTTGATCCACTAAAATATTTTGAAAAATGACATATTTTTCTCCAATTTTTTAAAAATAACTATTCTAACAAAAATAGGGAAAGTACTTTTCTAAATTCTCCTTCAACATCACCACACCACACCACACCCTCACTAGCTAATCCACCCAAACACCCCCAACCCCTAGTCCCTAAACCAACCACCTCGTCACGCGACCCACCCCGCCCCCAACCGACTCGGGACTCAACCCAAAGGAGACTAGTAATTAATCCCTTTTATATCATTTGACCAATCGTAACTTCGTGATTTGAATAGTTAAAGTATTTAGCAAATACTCAGAATAAGTAAGAAAAAAAACTTCTATGTAAGTTTTAAATTAGTTTAAGTTAGTCCATATTTTTACTTTTTATTGACTCCTTTCAAAAGAGGTAAGATCCGGTGAATCGGAAACAATTAATTAAGAATTCAAAACTTTTTTATGGAACAGACATATGAATATGCGTGGATCATACCTTTCATTCCACTTCCAGTCCCTATGTTAATAGGAGCGGGACTTATTCTTTTTCCAACGGCAACAAAAAGTTTTCGCCGTATGTGGGCTTTTCAGAGTGTTTTATTGTTAAGCATAGTCATGATTTTTTCAATCTACCTGTCTATTCAGCAAATAAATAGCAGTTCTGTTTATCAATATGTATGGAGTTTGCCTGATCTGAGACCCGACCCACCTAGGAGCCGAGCCAAGATTCGACCCTAACCTGACCCCAATTTGCTCCTCCCATACCTGGGACTCGACCTTAAACAATTTCCTTCGTATCGACCCCAACCTGATGTAAATATTATGGCCTAATGTAACAATCACTTTCTTTTCTCTGACTATATTTCTTCTCTTCATCATTTTCTATATATGTCTAAATTTACACAAATTATTAGTCAGTTTGACCCTCGTACTCCAAATCAAACCATGTAAGTTGTAAAAGGGAGTTATATTAAAAAAAATCATAAATATATAATTACATCCTAAAATTATGTATATGTTTAAATATTGAAATTTATCACCGATAGACTAAAATATTTAGATTTTTCAAAGTTTAATTGGTTACCTGATGTAAGACATGTTGAAGTGTTTGAGGCAATAGAGTACATAGAGGGTGGACATCAAATTCACAAAGCTCACACCTATAAAACAACCCTTCAATAGAATCACAACAAACATTGCAGACGCGGTCCAATTGACTATTGCCATGTGGCATGCGGGTAACGAGCTTGAGCGAATGGAAAGGATGTAAGAACGAGGAAAGATTCATTGGACATGTTCCACAATATTCGTGTAGATTGAAATCACATTCATGGCAGTTAAATCTTTTACCTATGCCAAGGATTTTGCAACCATCACATACATATTTGGTGTTGGAATCAAATAATGTTAATGAATGGTTTGGGTGTATCAATTGTTGGATTGGGTTCTTGTGGATCGGTGCCATTTCTTGAAAAATAAAATAAACACAAGTAAGAACTTGTAGTTGAAAAAATATTGGGACCTCAAAAGGCAAGATGACCTTATTGGAAGACTTTATAAGTCCTTTACTTGCCTTTTTCTTTTCTTTTATATAAGTATAATATAATATTTAAATAGAGGAAATGACAAAAAGATGGTTCATTATTTTTTGGTAGTAGTTCACAAAGCTACCCCTTAAGTATCATTTGGTCAATTTTAGTCCTTTAAATTTGTCAATACTGAGCTTCTGGTCACTATCAGATATTTATCAAATTATAATTGTTAAATTTAATTAAAGATGTAAAAATAGAAAATATTTATTGGGAACTCACATTTGGAAGTACATTTTTTTTGTTGGTTATGTTACTTTTTAGTCCATTTTTAGTGTATGATACGACTTTTGAGGTGCAATTCATGTTTTTTTTAATATTGTGATTTTTGAATCTTGATGAAAATATCTAATTGTCTTGTTAAAACTTATTTCCCGCAACTCTTATTAAATTAAATAATCAGAATTTTGTAAATTCCTATCAAATATAAAAAATCTCCTTTTTAATAAATTTAAAAGATCAAAACTATCCAAGTGATACTTAAAAGACTATTTCAAACCTGCTATCAAATATAATGGGCCATTTTTTACATTTCTCTAATCTAAACAAGTTCCAAGTAGCCCTATTGACAGAAAGCTACTCGCTTATTGACATTTCAACATAATAAATATACATAAATGTGAAATTTATTTTAGTACTTCTTCATCATTAAATTGGAAGCTTCCTTTAAAAAAAAAAAAAAAACTAAGTATTCAAAACTTATCGATTAATTTAGATTTGTTTGGCCAATAATTAAAGGAGGAGTCCTTCCTACAGAGGGGATTTCTCTATTATCAAAACAATTTTTTTTGTTTAAAAATATAAGAATCCACCCATCATATTATACCTTTGGTGAGATTCTTCCAAATTAATTCTACTTGTTGTAAATAAAAATTGTCAAGTTGTGATTGGACAGGACAGGGTCAAAGTCTACTAGTGATGACTTTAAAGTGGATGGTATATATACAAATCAATTCATATTTATTTCTTAAGGAAAACGTTATTTTATCTAAGTATACATCAACATTGATGTTGCTTCCTAATAATTTAAAACAAGGCTTGGACGTTTTCCCTCGTTGTTTGAAAAAGTATTTGCAGTTAGTAAGCAATTGCATGACATTTTACGTACCCTGGTGACAAATTCTTTCGGGATGAAGATAGTGACAGAGCCAGAAATTTAATGAAGAATATATAAATTTTCTTTTCAGTTGTGATAAGGGTGTGAAAAATTAAATATTATACACTCATAATAATAACATTTAACCTTTGTAAATCACATAATTTTTCGGTAAAGAATGTTCACCGGATCACCCTTTGCTTAAGTTGGTGACACCGGTCATGCTAAAATTGGGTGTGTTTGGTATGAAAAATATATTTTCTATGAATGATATTACCTAGAAAATATTTTCTTGAAAAATAAGATGATTTTGTTACTTATTTTCTGTAATTAATTAAGGTGCGAAAGATAAAAAGTTTATGAGAAAGTACGTTTGATCCTTTTTTGAAAGAGAAAGGAAATAAAAATTATCATGTAATCTGAAACCGATTTTATTCTAATATAAACTGGAGTATTTCTTTTCTTTTTTTCCTTTGAGGTATAGTTAGTTGACTTCAATAAATAATATTCCATCCAACTGTAATATAATATAATAAAAGAAACGTAAAATATGTTTGGGAAATTCCATAACAAATCTATGTTTCTTTTATCTTTCTATTTAGGATGACAAAAGAATATGAATATTTGATTGAATCGATTTAATTTAATTGTATTGAACTGATTTATATCATTTTTTAATAAAATTATAGATTTTTATTTCAGTGTCTGACTATTTCAAGCAATTATGATGATCTTTTTAATTTATAAAAAAATTCAAAAAAATTCTTAACCGAACCGAATAACCTTATATGCATGTTAAATTTAATATATAAATATATTTTTTAAATATCAGTATAAACTAGGTCCTAAACCTCCGGTGACTTAGACGACTTTATGCCTTTGCTTTTTAGTTAGTCTTTAATTGAGTAGGTTTAAAATTAAAAGATACTATAATAGATGCTCCATAAAACAATACGACAAAATATATGTAAACACTTCTATTAAAAGTTTAAGATCAAACAATATGGCCACAATGTTTTACATTCTTGACTTCTTGGTGAAGAATTTAGTGTACTTTGAGGTGACACTAAAAGTAAAAATAAAAAAGTTGAAAATTAACCGAATTGTACCGATACCAAAAAAGAACCGATATGATAAAGATATTTTTAAAAATTTAATTTTAATTATACATATAAAATATCCAAATTATTAAAATGCTATAATTTTTTTAAAATAACAGACCGAACCATTTCATTTAATTCCTTACTTCTATTCTTTCTCATATTTTTTCCCCCCTTCTCTCTCGTTATCTCCTATAGTTGACTTCAATAAATATTCCATCCAAGGAAAAAAAATGTATTTTGATCTAAGCTAGTCGTCATCTCAAATCTTCTACACCATAATCTTTTATATTTAGATATATATGGCCTTGCATACTTTTTTCTTTTGAAATTTCTTAAAACTAAAAGTCTTTTAGATTGACTTTTAGTTTTTGATTTATATGTTAAAAATTACTATAAGTTAGAAATCTTAATATATAGCTTTTGAATTATTTTTAGTGCCTATAAACACTTCTTAAAGTTATCCAAACACTTTAAAAATTCTTGAAATCCATTTTAGCGTAAAAACACTTAAATTAAACCAATCCAAATAGGCTCTTCTTTAGCTTTTCTGCAAAAAAATATAGGAGATGGAGCAATGCAAAGACATTTCTCATACAACAACATATTCATAGTAATCTTACAAGTATGATTTATAGGAGGGAAGGGTATACACAAATCTTATCCCTTCCTTTGTGGGGTAAAAAAATTGTTTCTGATAAACCCTTAAATCAAAAGTAGAATTTTTTGAAGGATGACACATTTTTTTATTTAATGAAAGTATCAACATTTTACCTATACTTCGTCTCACTTATTTGGCAAAAAATCCACAAAACCGTACTCTTCTATTAAAAAATTATTTATTTTAATGATAATTTTAAAACATTATAAAGTCTTTTCATATTTTTTAAACTTCGTACCCATTAAAGCTGCATTATATAATTAAATTGGCACGAAGAGAGTATTATCTTTTAAGTTACAAAATAAATAAAATTGTACAACTAGTCAACTAGAGAAAACAGTGCAAGCTTTCTCTTAAATTATTAGGAATCATCCAGGTTGGTGATGTACCAAACTAAGTTCTAGTTGATGTATTTTATGAAAATAAAATAAAATTGCCAAAGACTTTAGCAAAAGCCCTAATTAAAGTCTTACATTGTCCTCTTGCTCTTTGGAGGTACCTAGAGAAAAAATTAACCAAAAATGTCACCACTCCCAAGGAACACAATACAACATTTCACACATCCAAAACATTCATTGACATTATTTGATTCCAATACCAAATATTCATGTGATGGTTGCAAAATCCTTGGCATAGGTAAAAGATATCACTGTTCTAAATGCGATTTCGATTTGCATGAATATTGTGGAACATGTCCGATGAAACTTTCTTCGTTCTTGCATCCTTACCATTCGCTCAAGCTAGTCAACCGTAAGCCACAAGGCGAACGCCGATTGGATCGTTTTTGCAATGTTTGTTGTGATTCTATTGAAGGGTTGTTTTATAGGTGTGAAGTTTGTGAATTTGATGTCCACCCTCTATGTACTCAATTGCCTGAAACACTGCGTCATGCCCTACATCAGGTAAGTAATCCATTTCAATTGATGTGAATACTGGACACGAAATTTCAGAAAAAAATAATGTTTGAAACTTATAATTTTATATATGCTATAAGTATTTTTGTCGTTACAAAAACATTTCATTAATGAGAAGTTTAAATTATAAAAAAAATAATCTAAAATTCAAAAGAAATCATTAAGGGAGTATAATAGGAACCACTTATCAAGAAAATCCATAATTATTTTGAAAAATTGAAGATGTTCAACAAGATCCCTTTCCACTTGCAAAATAATGTGAATCTGAGTTTCTCTAGCCTACTTTTCATGTTAGAGAGAGAGGGGAAGAATATCACCCTCGAAAACTTCAACAAAGTGAAAATTCAAATAGTTAACTTATTGAAAATTCAGATAATTAGGGGAAGGGAATAGGGGCGGGGATTGTTTAATGTCTATGATGTGGATCACAACTTAGAAAAGGATGTATAATTGTGCAATCATTTTAATTAACATGACGATTGTCATAAATCCAGGTGCATCCTTTAAAACTATTGGGTTCGACTGAATCAGGAACATGTGTTATCTGTAGAGGAGCATGTAACGCTTCTTCATGGCGTTATAGGTGTATACCTTGTGGATTTGATATTCATATAGATTGTGTGACAATACAATGCGAAAAGAAAACGACAACGGATCGAGGAATCCCAACGTACGTTCCACCATCTGGATTTGATGGTTATGCTTATGGAATTCCTTATTATCATCCTAGTCCACTTAACATGCACCACAATTACGTGCCACAACCAAACCATCAGAACCATGGGCAGGTTCAGACTCATCATGGTGGTGGTCGAATTGGGCAAGTGATGTTTGGTTTGGTGAAAACACTTGGAACTGGAGTGCTCTCTAACATGATATTTGGGACGGACCTATCTTCATTCTTTGCTACTTAATGTATTAGATTTCATTTCAGTCTCTTTTATTGCAATTGTTTAAGAGAAATCAGTGGTGAGATTAAGAATTTCGCTAAGAATATTGAAGATTTAATGTATTTGTATATGAAGTAACACTTCATATAATTTTCTATATACGCGGTATAATTTTTTTAAAAAGTTATTCAACTCATCATTCTTCACGTATGTACCTTAGCTATCCTATAGTTTACTTCATTTCAATATTACACTTTCTCCACTAGGGATAAAAACTTAATTACTCGTGAGTATGTAATTAATCTATTGAGGACAGAGTCAATGTAATTAATCAAAAGAGAATCTAAGAATTATGAGTATAATGCAGTATTAGCTATTATTTGCACACCCTTAATATAACTGAAAAGAAAATTTACATGCTATTTACTAAATTTTTGGCTTTGTCGCTGCATATATAGATTGATAGTGTGTACGGTATATAATAGATGGAATGGAAATATTGAGGACAGAGTCAATGTAATTAATCAAAAGAGAATCTAAGAATTATGAGTATAATGCAGTATTAGCTATTATTTGCACACCCTTAATATAACTGAAAAGAAAATTTACATGCTATTTACTAAATTTTTGGCTTTGTCGCTGCATATATAGATTGATAGTGTGTACGGTATATAATAGATGGAAATATTAAAAAAAATTCAATAATAAATGGACAAATATATGTTATATTTTTTTCCCAATATCATATACGCATACATGTAGGGATTAAATTCTTTTTGTCATTTTAGATCATAGTGATATTCCACACTCCATCAAATGTTGAAATTACAAAAAGCATTTCACAAAGTAAATACTTGGACAGTCTAAAAGTCTAAACCAACAAAACTCCATATTTAATTTTCTACACAATTGAGTTGACCTATTATAAATCGAGTAGTCAATAGATTTTGAGTTATATATTGACTATATGTACTATGTCATTATCTTTTTGTTGGTATCGTTGCCGTTTCTTTGAGGGAAAGTAATGCATGCGTTCATGTGATATTTTGCATTTTTCGAGTAGATTTTTACTTAAATCATTTACTATATGATTCACACAATTGATATAATTAATTACAGTGAGATTTCTTTTTATGGGACAAAAAATAATCTATATCTTACATTTTTGGGTCCGCTAATTCTGGGTTCAATTTTTTATCATACAAACAGGAACTTTACACAACTAATAGCTAAGGACTTTCAAAAAGAAAACTGTGACAATTAAAAAGCAACTGAGAGAGTAAAAAATTCCAAAACAAAAAAATACCTTTTTAATTGTCTTAATATATAACTGGATCAAACTGAAAAATCCAACAAAGAGTTTTGCCACACAAAGTGAATTTAAAATTTTAATTTTTTTTTCATAGCTAAGGATGAAATTATACACTTTTACATCATCAAGATCCAAAAAATGGAGACACATCCACCCCAAACATGACATTGGAAATCACCCCAATCGCAATTGTTTTCACCAATTTAAACATCACTTGACTAATTCGTCCACCATAATTTTCACTATAATGAGTTTGGGCCTGCCCATGACCTTGATGTTGTTGGTATAGTTGTGGATATTGTGGCATAATATTGTAGTTATAATGAGTTTGTGCCTGCCCATGACCTTGATTTTGTTGGTATAGTTGTGGATATTGTGGCATAATATTGTAGTTTAAATGGTTCATATTAGATGGACCAGGAAAATGATTGGGACTAGGATAACCAACAAAATAATGTTGTTGAGGTAATATAGACGGTGGAACGTACGTAGGAATTCCTCGATGGGTCGTTGTATTTTGACATTGTATTGGCACGCAACCTATATGAATATCAAATTTACATAGTGCACACCTATAACGCCATGAAGAAGGGTTACATGCTCCTCTACAAACGGCACACGTAATTCCTGGTTCGATCGAGCCCAATAGCCTTAAAGGATGCACCTGAAATATTAATGACAATATCATGATCATCAAATTAAAATAACACTTGTTGGCAATTACCATATATATATGATAGATCTTGACAGACAATTTTTTAATTGGACGCTAAAGAGTTAAACTATAATTGGTCCAAATTTTTTATATATAATTTCTTATAAAAGAGAGTTAATTACTTAAATGATCATTTTAGGGAAATATCAATGCATTAAAATCACTTTTGAATGTATATAATTATAAAGTAATCCAACTTAACACATATAGTTGCATTATTCACCTAATTTTTGAATGCCTCAAAAGGTCACCTAATAAGTTATAATACAAAATCTTCTTTTGTTTCTAAATAAACTCCATGAATAATATTTACTTGATAATTCTTTGAGTTAATGGTTAAAAACATATTTTAATTATCTTTTTTTTCAAGTTTCATATCTCAATCATTCAATTACCTGTCAAAACTATCACTCTGTTTGTATTAAAATACACCTAGATGATGAGTCAATCAAATATTTCAAAATCAATCGACAACAGGCACATGAAGGCTTACAAAGCCCATAAAATCGATCCTCCTAGCATCTATAACAGCTAATTGAACTTACTAATTTATTTTTTTATTTTTTATTTTTTTTAAAAAAAAAAACTTTTTTACTTCAAATCCTTCTCCCCTTTCTATATTTCTCTATGACCCTATAATGTTATACAACCCTAAAATGAACCCTAAAATTTTATACAATTCCACAATAAATCCTAAATTAATTTCGATACAACCCTAGAATTTTATAGAATCCTGGATCTTTTTTGTTTTTTTTCAAAATTAAAAGCTAAACAAACGTTAATGCACACTAAAATTGAAGGTTAATGGGAAAAAAACCAAAGGTTGAGCACTTCTACTCATTTAATTCTAATTTTTTAAAACGAACTAAAAAGAAAAAGCAATCACATAAAATAGGACAGATAAGAAAATACAATGAATTTCTAGCTAGGTTACCTGATGTAGAATATGGTTGAGTGTTTCCGGCAATTGAGTACATATAGGATGAACATCAAATCCACAAAGCTCACACCTATAAGATAGGCCTTCAATTAGGTCACGACATATGTTGCAAGCGCGATCACCTGAGTGGTGATCGCGCTCAACAAGCCTGAGTGGGTGGTGAGGATGCATGAAAGACGATAGAATTCGCGTACACTTTGCACAATCTTCATGTAGATTAAAGGTGCAAGCATGGCAATGATATCTTGTACCAAAACCATAAGTCATGCAACCCTCACATAAATATTTAGGGTTTATGGTATCATCATGTAGTATTAGTGGATGTTGTTTGTGAGTAAAATGTTGAATGGTTGTTGGAATAAGTGTCATTTTTTTTAATTAAAATTGATTGCTAGCTTAGAAGATGGAAATTGAATTGTATGGAACTTAATAATTCCAAGAAGAAGAAGACGATTGAAGACTTTATTTATAGTTATAATAATTCTAAGTCTTTCACTTGTTTTTAATTTTACATAGACTAGAAATTGTCTTTATAATTAATACATCAGTAACAACCAGGATGCTTCCTATATGATTTAATTTGGATAGACTAGTTGCCTTACTTATGTCGTTGACTAGTTGCCATAACAATATATTTAATGTAATTTCATAAGTGAGTATGAGGAGAGGTATACACATACCTTACTCATATCTTGAGAGGTAGAGAGGTTGTTTTTGATAGGTGGCCTTCGGCTCAAAAAATTAAATTAACAAGAGTGAAGAAGTCATGACAAAATACTATAAAGAACATGTCAAAGCATTTTGAAGAAAAAAAACGTATTCCAACCAAATAATACAGCAATCAAAGTGCAATAAAACCTGAGTAATACTACAACTATTAGATATTGAATAGTATTTTCGATGCGAAGTATAAATTTGTGTATAAAATTTCAGTAAAATTGCAATGACTTGTGGATATGAGCTCAAAATTTTAATTATATAATGGGTCCATGATAAGAACATTAAAGGTTGATATTCATAAACTTAAATCCTGAATTTGCCTCTGTACCAGTGTTCAACTATAACATGTAAATTCCTTTTTGATTCTTGGAAATGTCAGTGGAACTTTCTGTTATTTGATATTTTTCTTGAAAATAAAATTAATATGTCAAGCAAAAAATAAATGATATTTGCAAAAAATATTATATTTGCAAGTTGTTTTATCTTGTTATAATTTGAGCTGGAACGTTTCAACACTCTGCAAAGTCTCCTATGGTGTTGACTCTCAAATAAATGCTACTAAAATTTGGATTTAACTTATATCTAATGAAGCCTGTTGTGAAAGTTTATTTACTATATTTGTTATTAATTCTGTTCTTTTACATGTAATATTATATTCAAAGTGATTTTAGTAGTGAATATTTTAACCATAGTAGATCATATATAGAAGCTAACTTCGTGCTATATTATACTTTCATCACTAGCATTAGTAAAAATCACTATTTTCTCACTGAATTTTCCACTGAAAAATATTCATTGGTTATTTCTATAGATATGTTGATTGAAATAATGAGAAGCGAAATACATTTAATAATTTTTTTTATTCAAATAAAATTATTTGAGCAAGGATGATTTTGCTTTACGTGAAGGCTACTAATTCGGGGTAGAGTATAGTACTAAAGGTCCTTTGACTTCCGGACGAATTTTGGGTTCAACCGAACCTGCTAGCGGGCTAATATATATACACATGTTGTTTAACAATATTAATGTTTTATTTTCTTTGAATTATTCTTTTAATATGGATTGGACCTAGCTACCATTGCAAAATTTTTTTTTAATGGAACTAAATAAAAAAGTACTGAACCATCAATAACGTCAGATTGACAGTTGATATTATTATTATATCGTAAGTCCAGAGAGTAGTACGATGTCCTTCCAGAAATCCCTTAGAAATTTCAGAAAAGAAAGTACTTAGAAATTAGAGAGTCGTATCGAGGGGCTTCCGTGAGCTCACATGAATCCATGTTCTCCAACCTCCCTATATCATATATAATAGTCTTATATTTTTCTAAAATTATTTATTTAAATATAATGTGTAAATCCACGTTCAAAGTATCATATAATAATACGATGATGATTGAGTGCGCCTCTCTAAGTGAAGATAGAAATTTAGATCTCATATATATCTTATTTTTGTGAGTAATACCTTTCCAAGTGGTTATCGGTAACACTCTTTTAACGAATGTCTTTTTGCTTTAATCTTTTAAAATTTTCAAGTGTGTTATGTTGAAAATTCCTAAAAATTTTAGCACTGTAAATTTTTTATATAATTATATATTTTGAATCTATAATTTCTAAAATTTAACAATTCATATTAAGAACCTAAAGGTTAAACCAATTAAATTTATATTTTAGATACATTTTTTTATAACAGTGTATCATTCTGAAATTCTGAAATTCTGAATACGCCTGTGTAAGTGGACATGTTAGAGGTACAATTTTCCTGTGGAAATCTTTTTCTTTTCAGTCAAGTTATATATGTGTACACAATTTAGTTGGAGTTAAATAGAGTACTACTTCCAGGAAAACCCTTGGAAATTACATATAAAGATAATTTCAAGGATGTTACCATGAAAATCAATGAAATTGATGCAAGTTGTGCAAGATAATTATTATTTTTTTTTGCCTAAACACGCTAGTTGGAGATGGCAAATAACATGCAGAATAATTGATTGAAAGAAAAATAAAAATTGTTGAATATAATAAATTAAGCAAAAATAAAAGGAAAACTTACATAAATATATACTTCGCCCATCTAGTTTACTAACATGGCCAAAGTATACATTACCTATACACATTGATCGTAGATGTTGTGCATAGATATTTATATTATATGTTTAGTATATGTATAGTTAATATTAAATATAAAGTGTACTCTAGTTATACATTGTGTACATATTTCAAGTTTTTGCATGGCATGCCCGTTTTAATTTTTTTCCTACTTCTAATTTAATGAAAATTTATGAGTCAAAAGTATTCTTAATTGTGACCGAATTTCTCAAGTTCTCTTCAAGGCATAAGGTTCTGAAACTGAATGTATGCCTCTATGGGCATAAGTTGAGTAGGAGCTTAGTTATGCAATTATAAAACATAATTTGTGGTTGTGAACTTCTTAAAGCATAATGTTCTGAAACTGAACGTATGCCTTATAAGACATAACTTGTGCCTTGCGATTTATTGATTTCAAATAGAATGTGAGTGATTTTGTATCTTTAAGTTGATATCTGTATGTTGCAGCAACTTAAGAAAGTTGCCCAATTCATGCAATAACATTATTATTTTCATCTTTCGTCTGAAGGGTACACGAATTGCCTGAGAAAAAAAATCTAATCCACTGAACAAAATCACAAAAATGCTCTAATTTATAGAAGAAGTTTGATGTGGTTATAACTATTGCTATTTCTTACCAAATTTGGCGTTCCATCCATCATCGTCTATCGTTACGTTAGCTAAATGTTTCTTCAGTAAGAACACCATCAACTGGAGACCTGCTCAGAAGAAAAGGCTGGAGATAGTAAGAACTAAAAGTATAAGTGACTGATAGTAAAACATATTTAGCAAAAGATTGAGCATATCTTAGAAATCATTGCTATATTACTAATAACTCGAAATGTAAACAGTTAGGCTCACTAGGCTCCACAGATCCATGAAAAAGGATGCTAGTTCTCGACAAAATTCTTGATGTTTTTAAGCCACCGGATATATTCCTTGGTGTCTTTGCTAATTACATACTCCAGCATAAAGTTAGCAGTGCTGCCCGTCAGACCTCTGGCTTCAAGATATTGATAGACAGACTTCTGAAGACTTTCATTTAGAAATCTGAAAAGAAGACAACACAACTTGGATAATTAGTATAAGAAAGCTATGTTGCTCGGACTCTCTAAAAATGCACGACTTCTGGAGGATCCGACACACCCTGCAGTGTTTTTGAAGAGTCCGAACAGTATAGTAAGAAAGTGGCTCCAAAGCAACTCCAACCATCATACAATAGATAAGTACTTACGAGAAAGCAGGCCCTCTATAGTCTAGCTGATTGCTCGAACTTTTTGGCTCCTTGATGGACATGCCACAAATTGAAATTTTATTTGGAAAAGCTCTCACATCAAACTCTAGTGACAAGCCATTTTCTTTTGACACGGTGACAGACAATGGAATACTAGGTTGTGGCTCACTCTCTTCCTCACTGTTAACTGCATCACCTTCAACATTTTCACATCTGGAATTAGGCATGTCCACTACTATATTTATGGTCTCTTCACCATAATCTCTCGTAAGAACAATAACTCTTTTTCCTGCTTTATCTTGAACCTTAAAAGGAAAGTCATCCGGGATGTCCACAACCTACATAAAGGGGAAGTTTCAACCAACTGGTGCCAATAGGTGGTAAACGTGTTCTATAACATTCCATTCCAGTATTATTACAGACAAATTGTGGATTGAAATGCGCATTTGCAATAATTTACACTTATAATTAAGCAGCTAAATGGCCTAGGGGACTTTGTTTTAATGATGAGAAGGCAGCTTGTGATATGTGAGTTAGGCTGGGGTCATGGGTTCAGAGACCTTCCACAGACAAAAAGGTGGCCACTTTTAGGAGTTAGGATTGTTAACTGAAATACAGCCAGCATTTGCAAAGTACTTGAAAGATCACCACAGCTTAAAATGGAGGCAAAGTAATTGAAAATGAGCAACATGAATTCCAAGAAAATTCCTACAATTTGAAGTGTTGTAAATGAAACTTCAGGACCGTGTCCTGGAGTTCCAACTTATGCAAGTAAAACTCAATGAAGAGTCCTAGAATTCGAACTTATACAAGACAAACTCCACGATCACATCCTGGACTTTGAATTGACAATAACTAATTATATTCAGGACTATACATTCGATTAGCTCTGATAGATTGTTCTAATATATGATACTTCCTCTCAATTCTTTAAGATTGCAATTTGTATCTGTCTTTTGGTTCTAACTTGTAATTTTTTTGACAAAGATAACTTGTAAAATTAACTAATGGTAATAACAAATACATTAGTTGTATTGACGTTCAACAAGCAAAATCTGAAATATGTTCCAAAAGTTTGAAAATTTTAGAACATGTATTTGTGCCTTCCATAAATTTAGGTAAGTCGGTGGAGTATAACCAAAAGGATCAGTGAATGTGGGTTGATCAGAAGAAGTGTCAAACCAATGAAGCTCATCTTCTACATCAAATAAACTCATATACTACCAAAGAACCTAAAGACTTAAAGTTGCCAAGTTTAATCGCAAGAACGCGGGGCAACTTACAACTTCTAAGGATAAATTGGAGTATGTAACAAACACTGCAGAAATTATAATCTTGATGGACATAAGTCATTTTTTGTGTTTGGTACCACAGAAATTATTTTTTGGGGACTGTTATTCAGAGAATAACTCATTTTTTGGTATTTAGAACTCAATTATTTTCAAGAAAAGCATTTTCCACCAAAAGGGAGAAAATGACTCCCCTCATTTATGGTAGAAGTCATTTTCTTTCATAACTATCTCAACTCTTCTCTTAATTTACTACTCCAACCTACACTAAAGACACTATAATAAATCTTTAATAATAAAAAATTTCATCAAAGTGCACTATCCCATTCAGCTAACATTATTAATAATATTTTCAAAAGAACTTTTCCCTCTATAACCAAACACCGGAAAGCATTTTCTCCATCTTAGTCTTTTAAAGAGGAAATTTAACACGTTCAAAAAATTTAAGCTAGAATACAAATTAGTATTCCCTATGTTTAATTTTACTTGCGGCATCATTTTCTTTTTTAGTTTGTTTAAAAAGGAATAGGAAGTTTTTTGAATTTGGAAAAAAAGTTAAACATAAACTTCCCCTGATCCTTAATAACAAGCATTTATAGTCATACAAATGAAATATTTAAGACCACAAGTTTCAAAAGTCCAGTAGCCACACAAATATTATGTAATGTTTAAAACCATAAATTTCAAAAGTACTCTATCTTTTCTTATACCATACTCAGTAAAATTATGTCACACAAATTGAAACAGAGGGCGTACTTGGTTTGATATTAGCAGCTACTTAAACATGATAGAGTAATTAGTTTAGTACTATTAAGCACCTAACAATGGATCAGCTAACGATGTAGTTATTTCAAAGAAATGGGCTATAAGACTCAACGGGGGACGATTAGGGATAATGTCATTTGGTATGCTAGAAAGTCTTAACAATCGGGTCAAGACAGAATATTCATCGTCTCCAAAACTGTGTAGCACCTATGCTTTCAAGACAAACATATCGGCCAAGTTCTAAATTATATAGACAACATAAATCAACGACATCTCAGCACATGACATAGATACATTCAAAACAGACTCATCTCACATTCAAGGCACAACTAAATTAGAATCAAGCTTATGGTTCAGAATCTAAGCTAGCCTTATCAAACATACCATGTCAAGACTTTCCATGCACGCTACTAATATGTGAGGCCCAAAGAAGTCAATGACGGAGAAATCTCAAAAAAAAAAAGTAATTTCTTATATACCAGGTTCAATAGAGAAAACCCAGGAAACAACCACGGCAAGGAATCACAAGCAAAAGGATCAAAAAGTGCACTTATCAAGTAATTAAATGTTTAGAGACTCGAGGGGTTCCTGTGGCATACACTAGCGCGATTAAGGACATGTACAATTGAGCCAAGACTCAGGTCAGGATAGTAGGAGGAGACTAGGAGCACTTCTCAGTCATTATGAGGTTGCACCAAGGTTCAACCCTTAGTCCGTTTCTATTTGCATTGGTGATGGATGGATTGACATGACATATTAAAGGTGAGGTGCCTTGGTGTATGTTATTTGCAGTTGATATAAAAATAATCGATGAGACTCGCAGAGAAGTTAACCTTAGGCTGGAGGTTTAGAAACAAACTTTGGAGTCTAAAGGGTTCTGGTTGAGCAAGATCATAATTGAATACTTGAGATGCAAGTTCAGTGATGTAATGCAACAGGTTGGCATAGAAGTGAGGGTTGAACCACAACCCATCCCCAAGAAAGGAAGCTTCAAGTATCTTAGGTCTTTAATTCAAGGAAATAGGGAGATCAATGATGATGTTACACATTATATTGGTACGGGGTGGACAAAATGGAGGCTCGCTTCTGCAGTCTTGTGCAATAAGTATGCTCCACCGAAACTTAAAAGGTAAGTTTTCCAGAATGGTGGTTAGGCTGACGATGTTGTATGGAGCAGAATATTGGCTAGTTAAGAACTCTCATGTTTAGAAGATGAGAGTTGCAAAAATGAGGATGTTGCACATAATAGGAAAGATAAGATTAGGAATGATGATATCCTCGACAAGATGGGAGTGGCCTCTGTGGTGCACAAGTTGAGGGAAGCGATACTGAGGTGGTTTGGGCATGTGAACAGGAGATATGAAGATGGCACCGTGAGGAGGTGGGACAGGTTGGATTTGGTGGGTGTACGAAGATGTAGTGATAAGTCAGAGAAGTATTAGGAGGGGTTATTAGACATCACATGACGCATCTTCAACTTACCGAGCACATGACCTTAGACAAAAAGGTGTGGAGGTCGTGGATTAGGGTAGAAGGTTAGTAAGTACTTGCATGATGTCTTATCTCGTGCATTATAGGTTTGGTACTCTATACCTATTTCTCCATTCATACCAGTATTAATAGCATTATTCTTTTAGATTCCAGTCCTCCAATTCATGTTACTACATGTTATTTCTTGTGCTTTGGTTATCCCATTATTTGGTTGTTGTTACTGTACCTTCTCTCTGAATGCTATGAAATACTTCCCTTATTATTTACAATAACTTATTTGAATATGTATTTTTCTTTTCTACTAGCTTTGATATGTGTTACTTGAGTCAAGGGTCTTTCACAAGCAACTTTTCTACCTCCATGAGGAAAGGATAAGGTTTGCGTACACTCTATCCTCCCAGACCCCACCTATGAGATTCCAGTGAATATGTTGTTGCCGTTGAATACTAAATGTGTTTAGTCGAATATCACACAAAAATAAATTACTCCTTCTGTCCCATTTTATGTGGCACCTTTTTTCCTTTTTAGTCCATCCCAAAAAATATGTCAACTTACTATAATTAGAAATAATTTAACTTTAAAATTCTCCTTTTACCCTTAAAGAAATAAATCTCAACCACACAAATATCCAAGGATTGTTTTAGACCACAAGTTTCAAAGGTCTTTTTTTTTTCATGTCAAGTCAAAGGGTGTCACATGGGACGGAGGGAGTAGCATTTATGAATAACTGAGTTACCAAAAATGCTATTAGACTTTTTATATATCTAATATCATTTGATATCAACTAAATCTCTACTTTTAAGTTAGTTTTTTTCCTATGCATGTTGAAGCTCCCAAGTATTTAAATACCAACAACAAAACAACATACCACAATGTGTGATTTCACAAATGGGGTCTGGGAAAGATAGGATCAAGAATGTATAACATTACCCATGCCTTAAGTGGCACAAAAATATGAAAGCAAAATAAGAAGATATAAGGCAAATGAAGCCACAGGAATGTTAAGTTATTTTTCTAGATGGTTGGCGTATATTCTGGAAAAAAAATAACTTCCATTTGTTTATGTTGTTATTTATTCAAAAATAATTATATTCATGAAACTCGAAAGACTCTTGGAGTCAAGTAATTGGCAAATGTATGTTGAAGATACTGGTGCCTCATATACTAGGCGAAGAACCCAAATAAGAAGTGACTGAATTAGGTGATTAAATTCAAACCAAACATGATGTATAGTTGTACTCTCAACACAACAGATTAAGCAACAGTCAGAATAACCAAAAAAATAAAAATAAAAAGCTCATTCGACATTTCATATCAGCATTCAAATGGCAGGAACTTACGCAGTCGTGAAATTCAGAATCTATGGTAAATTTAATTTCCGAATCGACGATTTGAAGTAGAACATTATCAAAGGAGCTGTGTTTTCTCTTCTTCTTGACTGCGCTGGTGGAGTAATGAAGCACCAGAATCGAGAAGCTTCTAGAAGCGCCGCCGCAGTGGCCATTTCCGACGGTGGAAGCGGTGGCAGTAGCAACGGAGCGAAGTGCAAGAGGAATTGTGGACTTAGAAGCTCTGCGAATTGCGGAGTACAGCGCCATACAAATTCTAAGCAGGGCGTAGGGGCAAGGTTCCCCGTTACGGCGCTTTTGTTTTAAGATTTAACAAATAAAAATAAATCAAAAAACGTATTTAAAATTCTAAACAATTTTTATAACATAATGCCGTCCGAAAGGGCGTGGGTTCAAACCAACTATGACAAAATGCATCTCCCAAAATTATTTTTTTTATGACAAGGGAAACCCGCAGCTGCTACCCTTTGGGTGCGCACAGGGTAAAACCCCCGCTCCTATGCAATAGCTCGCAAACCACATAGGAGAGGTAACCCGCACTAGGCAAGCCTGGTGCGGCGAAATTACAGTTGTTTGAACGAAAAATCAATTGTACAAGACAAACAAAAAACAGCAAGGTAAAAGTTTAAGTCGGCGCATCGCCACAGTTGATGGTAGTAATAAATTTTCATAAGTAAAGTTTGAACTTTTATATTTGTTATTTAATTTTACATGTTTATATACTATGTCTTAAAAGTTTGACTTATTTATGTTCAAAACATTATAAAATTGACACACTTTATACTTTTGGCTTGCGAAATAGTTTATTTTTACCTCTTTTTCACTAACGAAGCCATTAAAAAAATTAATAAATATGGAAAACGTCCAAATTCGGCTCTCTAATTCGTGAAGTATTTACTTTAGCCCTCAGTATAATAATATTATCTTTTCTCACTAAGAGCTCCACTTTGAACCACAATTTTATGCATGTTAAAAACTACAAAATTATACTTGACCATTAATTGAACCACCTCTTATTTACTACTTTACTACCGTTGTTTACTCATTGCATGTGTCACAACACATTAGTCAGTAACAGGAGAAGACTAAGACAGGAACTAAAAATAGCACTGCCAAGTGAATTTTAAGCATGCTATGTGTGTGTGTTAGTTTCATGTCATGCGTGCGCTTGATTCAAGTAGTATGAGAAACATGTTCAATTGCCAAGTATTAACATTGATGTTTAAAACCTCAACACTACTCTGTTTTTCTTTTTTTTCCTTCCCCCGTCTGATAGACAAAACTAAGTACTTAAGTCATCCACCAAACGAAAGGAAGGGGATATAGTCTCACCAGGAGCATAGTATTATCCCAGCAAATCAAATGTTTGAATACCGTCTCATAGAATCTGCAAGATTCTTGAATGGTTTTCCAGTATAGAGTCAATAGAGGGACAAGGGGTGCAAGGAAACCTACATCTAATGGTTGACAATTCACCTATCTCCAAAAGTTCTAAGGAAAAGGAAGTGCACAAGAAGCTTAAATCTCTGAGACAAATGGATTAATATTTGCCTATCTTCAACAGTTAATTCATACTGTGACCTTAGATCTCATCATCCCACAGCTCTTCAAGTGTTCTGTACTGCCCATGCGTCTCATTAGCAAATGAAGTGCCTCTCAGCAGCCTTGCCTACAATGTCAATAATCCATGAACTGCATTAATAAAGTTTGTAATAAAAACTATCTGGTGAACAGACTTATATAACCATTTATCGCAACAATCCTGGAAGTTTAAAGAGTATAAGTGAGGAAGTGCACAGATAAAAAGGACTTTCATTTTCTTTTGGTCCTGAGGGGAATGTTATCTAACTAGCACATGGCAGTATATAGTCATGCATATTAGACGTTTGTTTGACAGTGTATGAATCTGTCACTGGTAAGAGGTATCAAAGCACCTATTTGTAAATTATATGAAAGTCATCGAGAGGTATTAAAGAACTAAAGAATACAAGTCTGACGGATATTCCTTATGTGCAATGCAAGTCTCATTCGTGTTTCTTTCTTCATTATTTTTTTTCCCTTTGGAACAGGGATTGCTATCTCAGAGAAGATATACAGCCAATTTTCTAGGTCCATTTGCACTTTTCAAATTTGAAATTAATATGATAAGAGAGAACAAATTTACAATTGCAATTTCAGTATTATCAATGAAAGAATTTACCTGTGGAATTTCAGAGAACTTGGCAAGTAAGTCATCAGGTATAGACCAGTTCAGTACATCAAGATTCTCTTTAATCCGTGCTTCATGTGTGCTCTTAGGAAGTACACTCTGACCCATCTGAATGCCCCAACGAAGACAAACCTGTGCAGGAGTCTTGCCCAATTTCTCAGCAACTGAGATTACAGCTGGCTGCTTTAGCACATCACTTTTAAGCCATGTTGTACCTGGAGACCCAAGCGGCGAATATGCCTGAAATAAAAAGGTGTCAAGAAAAGGAGTAAAAACAATAACTCATTGTCAATCTACTCATGTAGACAGATGACTAGTCAATAGTTACCAACAACCAAAATCATGGAACAAATAAACTCATCCCCTATGAACAATTGTTCATAGTAATCAGAAGAAAAATGGAAATTGGAGAAAAATCTAATGAAAACTTGACCACAATGTACACAAGGGGTACAAGAGCTTTAGAAATGAACTCACAGAGAGGTGCACTTCATTGGATTCACAGAACTCCCGCAATTTGGTTTGTTGCCACGAAGGATGGCACTCCACCTGGTTGACAGCAGGACGAATACGTGCTACTTGTAAAAGATCTCCCAGTTTCTTAGTAGAGAAATTGCTAACACCAATAACTCTAGCCTTCCCGGAATCATAAACTTTTTCCATTGCTTCCCATATGCTGGGTATGTTGGTTGGCATAAGATTTTCAGGTTTAAAGTCAACTGATCCAGGCTTCATACTGACAGGCCAATGGATCTATAGAAACAAAAGTCTCAATTTATTTACAAGGATACCATTTAATACAGAAAAAACAAAAGAACAAGTAAATCACTTAAATTTATAAAACTAATAATGAACTCTCTTTTGATGTTTAAATTTTTTCCAAGATATGTAGCAGTTCAACGGCAGTATTTATAGTTCTCAGGAGCATCGTGGCAGCTCTAAAATTTCGTTCTGGTGCATCTACTTAAGGGAAGAGTGGGAGTATATTGCAGTGAACACTTCTTAGAAGTACATTATATTAATTTAGTAATATGGCTATGAACTATTTAGCAAAGTTAGAAATACTAGCAGAAAGAAAGCTTCACATTAAGAAGAACTTACGAGGTACAGGTCAACGTATTCCAGCTGCAAGTCTTTAAGAGTTTTGTCTAGTGTGACTGGTACATCTTCAGGTGCATGATTAGTGTTCCTAAAAATGTTAATACACTTGAATGTATGAGTATCCTGAAACACTATGGAGACCATGATGGAAAAAACAGAGGCCCATCAGCACCATTTTAGTGCTAAAAGCAGAGTAGGTATTGAATTACCAAGCTATCAGGACACATAAATGATAAAAGAGGGAACTCAACAATGATAAACAAAAGACCAATGGTAAAAGATTGATGAGAATAACTCCACAAAGTTGAACAAGTTAACTTCATAATGGAAAGAAATTGACTCAGCATATTTCAATTTTAGGGCGAACAACAGGGAGGTAAGTTGTAATAGGAATGTTTGAATACATACCAGAGTTTGGATGTAATGAATAGATCTTGCCTCTTGACAACACCATCTTTAAACAGCCTGCTCAAAACTTCACCAATCTTTGAAGAAGAAAAAAATGAGACAAGGAAATATATGTAGTGACAGGTTATTCTAGAAAGCAGGACATGTTTTACATTCTAACAAAATGAAACTTTGTTTGAACAAATTTAACAAAACAGACCAGAAAATGTTAATGACAGATTGATCTGGAAACAAATGATAATCATTGATCACCTTTCCCTAGGCAAAAGATGAAGTCCAAAACCATCAAAGATTGACACAAGATTTTTCCACAAGACCTTAATAGTATAGGCAGAATGTCTATCACATCAATAGGGCACCTAAAGTGCCACCTTAATGGCTACTTTGCATATGTACTGATTTTTCAGATCTTAACATAAAGCGATAATTTCCCATGTTGCAGCAATATTTAGGGAACAGTACACAAGATACATTAAAGCCGCATTTACACTTAAAATTGAGATTTGTAAGTGATAACTTGATAAGCCCCTCTATCATGCCGTCTCAGTGCAAGACAGCCACTGGATGCAAAAAAACAAGCTATTATTTTTACTTTATTTTAGGAAGTAAATAAATAAGTGTCCCTCCCCAATGATTTAAAATCCTTTCAGACAAGATAGTCATACAGTTTGACATGATCTCCGACCCATCAACAGATTATCTACACATGTTCGTCCCTAAAACGAACATGGCCGACAAATAAAGGGGTGTGTTGTAGATATAAAATAAATAATAAAAGTGTCATTTCCGCTTTTAGATGAGAGAACCACTTCAATACTATGCAATGTTCAGTATGATTAAAGCCAAATTACCTCCTTCTCATTTTTATAAATTTGAGCACAATCAATATGCCGGTAACCCATCTGTAGCAAAAAGAAGAGAATGATTAGGTTGTGCCAGAATGCCAAAATCACTAAGTTGCAAGTGACACTTCAAAGTGGTTGAACTCTTAGAACTACTCCAAAGTTACTTTAGTAGCATTGTAGTAACATAACTTCTTAACATCTATTTTGGCCATTACAAGTAAGAACTACGATACAGAAAATAATTCTCAAAGAAGAGCAATGCACCCACTAATATATACATTTCCATAAACTCAAATAAAAGTTAGACCCATGCACAATTTCATCACTAAGCATATGTGGGAAGTGGGAACACATATTTCCTTCACTTTTTTCCACATTTGAACGGGATACCAGTGTAATCTTCTACAAATACTCTAGGAAAGTATATATTAAAGGGAAAAAGCATTCAGAATATGTATCTCTAATTTTGAATCCGACCACCTCCAATAGTAAGAGCTTCTACTCATTGTTTTCAAATTCATAAACAAACACCACGTCCAGAGAGAACACTGCTGTTTACCAGAGACAATCTCTCTGCCCTCGATACTAACTATTTAATCTTTTCACACCTAGAGACTTAAGGAATATAGCACTATTTCCAATCAAACATAGTGCTCACTCAATAACATTTCATGTGACATACTTTCCTTTACACTCTTATCGCAAAAAAAAATTGACACCTTTCAACTTTAGAAACAAATTCATTTT